TTTTTACATTGTGGTGACCAAAACTGGATGCAGTATTCCAAATGTGGCCTTACCAAGGCATTATAAAGTAGTATTAACACTTCAGGTGATGTGAAGTGGCAACTTTCATGCTTTGACTTTTATTACCATTATTATTTAGAATTATTTTGTCTCCAAAAATACTAAGGACATGGACAATGATGGCTGGATACCGCTGGAGTATTCAGGGCCATAGTTTTCAACAGATCTGCCAAAAGAGAAATAGGTTCCTCATTTCTCTCTTAAAATACTTAGCTCTCCCAGGCAAAATAGCACTCAAAATTTGGCCTTCCTTTCTTTAGTAGATGTTAGAAATATTTAAGTATCTGAAGGCTGCGCTAGATGGGGAAGGCGGGAATTCTAGTCCATCACAATGGGAAGAATTAGGTTGATTAATTTTATACTACATAAACAAAATTAATGGCTCTAGGATATTCCTATCTGCTGGGTTGAGTCAGAAAGGAGGGGAAGAAAAGTTACCTGGTTTTGAATGTAGGCATGAATCCGCTCTAGCATTCCTTCAGATGTGTATTCATAGGGCAAGTAAGGTTCAACCTAGAGGGACAGAGGAGGAAGAAATATGGACATGAACAAACGCAGAATAAGACTATTTCCAATTTCTGTGAAAAGTTGTGAAAAATGTGGTATTTTGTCATTATGATAGAATGTCTAAATTTCCATATGAAGAAATTGTAGTACAAATAAGCTAATTTGGCTGGATTTAAAATCTTTTCTGTAAGGACTTACCTTTTTTCATAGTTAAAAGTGAAAATTCATCCTCATTTACTTTTAAACAGGCCTTTAAACAGGTTTTGGCCATGCACATAAAACTACTGTATTTGATTTACAATGTAGAGCTACTTAACATTTATATATATATATATTTGGTCAGTAATTAGATTGAATTGGGGAAGGCATGCTGTCCAAGCAAACACTCTTTGGAATAGACAAAGCACTTGGAAGAAGCACACTGCACAAACAACAAAAATGCAACCTCCATTGCCTGGAGCCACCACCTAGTTCTCAGACAGGTTCTCGTGCAAAACTACAAAGGCAGCTTTTCATTTGAGAGATTTTTAGAAATCTGATGAAATTAGTGTATTGATCAAGTCCCAGATTTTGCAATTACATGTGACCATCTGCTGAAATGCAAAGATTCTTCAGATCTGTTCACCAGTATGTTCTGATCAAAACCATTGATGCTGACTGTGTATTAGACTGCTGGCACATTCTGTTGGGCCTGGAATATGAAGACTATTCAGTTTTGAGCTTACATCCTAGCAAGCCTTAGCACATATTTTCCTTCCCTCCCTGCTTCTCCTCCTTCTCAGAAATACTAGCAAGCCTCCTGTTGGATCTGTCAAATATACTCGTGATGGCAATGACAGCAGATGCTTGCATCCATCTGCTACCAGCAAACAATTGGATGAAGTGTCTCCCTGTATGGCAAGAGGGCCAACAACAAATAGATTTGCTAGGATCAGTGTTTCTAATGAGCCTATCTTTCCTCCTTCTCCTTTCCCTTTATTAAAAAGAAAAGAAGATAAAGATCAAAGCTGATAAAAATATGCTAGCAAAGAGAAAAATAAATCGAAATACACTATATTGCCAAAAGTATTCACTCACCCGCCTTTACTCGCATATGAACTTATATTGGCTCCCAATAGATGTTCAGGTGCAATTCAAGTTTCCTGGTTATTGCCTTTAAAGCTTTAGATACCATAGAACTGACCTACTTGCAAGACTACCTGCTCCCCTCACCCTCTGCCTGCCCCATATGGACATGCCGCCTGCTCCAGATCTCTGCTGATTGATGTGAAATGGATGCTGTTACAAATTCTCTACCCAATACTCATATTTATACAGAACAGGTAAATGAAAATCAGTCTGATAAAATTCAGACGAACTATAATTAGCACAAAGAATAATGAAAAAAGTCATTAATGTGGAGAAGTCACG